GGGGGACAAGCAGACATGCGGGGGACCCCTCACCCACCCGGACAACCTCCCCCATCGGGGGCCCTTCTCCCCCCCCCCCCCCCCCCCCAATGGCGGTGGGAGCTTTATGCAATGACTCCTATGCAAATGAGATGCTAATGAGGACAAATCGCTCCCCCCCGCCCCTCCCCCCCCCTTAATTCGCTGCATGTTTGGGGGGCCCCCCCTTTGCCTTGTGCTTTTGGGGGGGTCTCCAGCCCCTCCCTTCCCCCCGGGCTGTGCTGGAACAAGCTCCTCCCCCCCAATTACTATTTATTAACCTCATTAATAATTAATTACCCCTCCCCCACCCGGGGTTCGTGCAATCCCCACCCCTCCCCCCCGTTATCTCTTGGGGTTGTTTGGGGGGGGTGCCCCCGTTTGGGGGGTTTGACTCAGGAAGGGGGGGAGGGGTGGTGCCAAACGGGGGGGGGCGGGGGGGGGTGGGGGAGGGGCTCAGAGCTATTTTTTCACGCGGGATCTTGGAGCTGCAAGAATAAAAGTGACCAAAAAGAGAGAAAATGGCCTCAAAATGGGAGGGGGGCAAGGGGGGAAAGTGACCCCTCCCCATTCCCCAAGTGTCCCCTCCCTCTCCCAGGTGACCCCTCCCCCCCAAATTGAGGTGCTGTTTGGGGGCAGGAATAGAAAAGCTGCTTTATTGGGGGGAGGGGATACAAGGGGGGAGGGGAGGTCAGGGGTGAGCCATGGTGCAAGGGGGAACTTGGGGGGGTGACAATGGGGTGATGGGGACATAGAGGGGGACAGGGGGTGACAAGGGGGAGCGGGACTTGGGGGACAGAGGAGCGTGTGGGGAGTGACGAGGACAGGGACAAGGGGGGGGTCACAAAGACAATGGGGGGGTCACAGTCACGGTTTCTTTCACCACCCCCCAAGTTATGGGGGGCAGCAGCACAAGGGGGGGGTGATGGGGGTGGGCCCCTGCCCATCCCCCACGACGCTGGGGGGGCACACACGAGGGTGTCCCCAACACTGTGTGACCTCCCCCGTGGATATGGGGGTCACATCAGGGGTTTTTGGGAGGGGGTCACAGTGTCACCCTCGGGGACCGGGTGTGTCCTCCGTGGCGGTGGTGTCACCCATAGGGACATGGTGTCACCTATACAGACAGTGTCACCCATAGGGATATAGTGTCACCCATAGGAACGGTGTCACCCATAGAGACAATGTCACCCATGGGGATGTGATGTCATCCATATGGATATAGTGCCACCCATAGAGACAGTGTCACCCATATGGATAGTGTCACCCATGGGGACATGGTGTCACCTGTTGGGACAGGTGGTGGCGTCACCCATAGGGACACGGTGTCACCTATAGGGACATGGAGTCACCCATAGGGACACGGTGTCACCCATGGCGTTGGGGTGACCCAATTCACGTCCGTGGTGGCACTCTGGGGACAAACCGTGTGTCCTGGTGGGTCTCCTCCTCCTCCTCCTCCTTGCAGTGCCACGTTCTTGTCCTTGTCACCTCATCCTTGTCCTTGATGGTGTCACCCGGTGGTGACAGCCACAGGGACCCAACCTTGTCCCTATTGTACCCCATGGGTGCCACTGGGACCATCCTCATCCTCAGAGGCATCCCTTGGGTGCTGCTGTCACCGTGTTGTCACCTTCATCCCCATGGGGACCATCCTCATCCTTGTCGCCGTGGGGACCATCCCCATCCTTGTTGCCATAGGAACCATCCCCAGCCTCGTTGTTGCCATGGGAACCATCCCCAGCCTCGTTGTTGCCATGGGAACCATCCCCAGCCTCGTTGTTGCCATGGGAACCATCCCCATCTTTGTTGTTGCCATGGGAACCATCCCCATCCTCGTTGTTGCTATGGGGACCAGCCTCAGCCTCGTTATCACCTCAGGTGCCATTGTGACCTGACCTTGACCTCTGACCCCGCTCACACCTCGGACTCGAGGCTGGGAGAAGTGGGCGGAGCCTCTGCGAGCGCCCAGCGGCCCCTCCCCCCCACGGCGTGCCCCTCCCCCTCCCCCCCCCCCCCCACCCGCGGTGCTGCCCGCGGGGGGGAGGGGAGGGGGACAGGGGGACAGGGGCCGAGCCCAGCCCTGCCCCCCCAGCCCCCCCCAGAACCCCCCCGCCCCCCCCCCACGCGCTCAGGTCCTCGAGGCTGCGCGAGGCGGGGGGGGGCGGCGGCGGCCGCAGGGTGGGGGATGGGGCGGGGAAAGGGCGGGAGGTGGGGGGGGGAGGGAACCCCCAGAACCCGCCCCCCCCGCCCCAATGAGCGCCTCCGCCCCCCCCGGGCCAAGCCGGGTACAGGGCGGGGGGAGGGGGGTGTCCCCAGGGCCCCCCCTCCCAGTCCCGGAGCCTCTCGGCCGAGCAGCTCCGGCAGCGGGGGAGGGGCGGAGGGGGGTGGTGGTGATGGGAGGGGTGGGGGAAGGCGTGCGGGGGTGTCCCCAGGAGCTCGAGGCTGCCCCAGCCCCCCCTGCCCCCACCCCCCCCATCCCCACCCCCCGCCCCCCCCCAGCTTCTCTGCGGACCAGCAGCGCCCCGGCGGGGGGGGAGGTGGTGCCCCCCCCGCTCGCGGCCCGGGGGAGGGTGCAGCAGTGGTGGGGGGGGGTGCACCAGCAGGGGGGAGGGGGGAGCGCGGAGGAAGGGGGGGGTGGGGTAAAGAGGGCGGGGTGGTGGGGGGAGGGGGCGCGGCGCTGGCCGGGGGGGGAGGGGAGGGGGGCTCGGACTCGGAGTCGGAGAGGTCGTGGTAGAACGGGTGGGGGGCGGCGGCGAAGGGGGAGGGGTGCCCCCGGCAGAGGTGGGCGCGGGGGGTGGCGGGGGGGGCGCGGAGCAGCGGCTGCGCCTCGGGGTCGCCCCCGCCTCCCCCCACCCCCAACCCGCGGGGGGGGCCGCGGCGGGGAGGCGTTCGCGGGGTGGGGGCGGGGGGGCTCCTCTCGTCCTCGTAGAACAAACGGGAGTAAGGGAAGAGGGGGGGGTCTGGGGGAGAGGGGTCGTGTCCTGCCCCTCCCCCCCCCACCTCGTAGAGCCCCCGCAGCGCGCGGCGGGACCAGGGGGAGGGGCCGGGCTCCGGGGGGGAGGGCCGGGGGGGGAGCGCGGGCAGGGCCCGACCCCCACCCCCCCGCCGCCGCCCCCTCCCCGGCTCAGCCCCTGCGGCTCGATGGGGCCGTAGAAACGATGGAAGGCGGCGGGGGGCGGGGCAGGGGTAGGGGGCGGGCCCCGGCGAGGGGGGGAGTGCGGGGGGGGCGGCGGTCGCGGGGAGGGGGGAGGGGGGTGGGAAGTGGGGGAGGGGGGAGGGGGTGGGGGGAGGAGGGGGACGAGTCCTCGGGGCTGCAGCAGCTGTACATGCCCTGGGGGGGGAGGGTGGTACTGGTGGGGGGGTGCCCGTATTCCACATCCCATAGCCTATACCCCATATCCCATACCCCGTATCCCGTACCCCACATCTCATATTCCACACCCCATAGCCCATACCCCGTATCCCATACCCCATTCCTCATATCCCTTCTCCCCATATCCCATACACTGTATCCCATACCCCATATCCCTTATCCCCATATCCCATACCCTATATCCCATACCTCATATCCCATACCCCATATCCCATACCCCATATCCCATACCCGATAACCCACACCCCATATCCCATACCCCATATCCCATACCCCATATCCCATACCCGATAACCCATACCCCATACCCCTTATCCCCATATCCCATACCCCATATGCCATGCCCCATATCCCATACCCCATATCCCATACCCCATATCCCATACCTCATATCCCATACCCCATATCCCATACCCCATATCCCATACCCGATAACCCACACCCCATACCCCATATCCCATACCCCATATCCCATACCTGATAACCCATACCCCATACCCCTTATCCCCATATCCCATACCCCATATGCCATGCCCCATATCCCATACCCCATATCCCATACCCCATATCCCATACCCCATATCCCATACCCGATAACCCACACCCCATACCCCATATCCCATACCCCATATCCCATACCCCATATCCCATATCCCATATCCCATACTCCATATCCCATGTCCCTTACCCATCCCACCTCCCCCTGTCCCCACGCTGGCCCTACCCTGCTGAGCGCCAGCAGCGCCCGTGGGCGTGGGGCCGGGTGCCGGCGGTGCCGCAGCTCGCGGTGCACCAGGTGCTCGGCGGCGAAGACGAGGAGGCTGAGCCCCATGGCCACCAGGAGCATGTAGAACACCCCGGCCATGTTGTCGATGTCCAGTTTGCTGCTCATCACCTCCAGCTTCTCCTGGTGGCAGATCCCCGACAGCCACAGCCGCTCCAGCATCTCGATCTCGTCTGGGGGGAGGGAGAGCATCACCATGGGGTTTGGGGTCAATATAGGGGGTGTAGAGGTCATTTCCATGGGTTTGGTGTCATCTGTGCATGGGGTGCTTATGGGTCTCCACAGTGTGTTTGAAGACATCTGTGTGGGTTTGGGATGTTCTAGAGGAGTTTAGGGGTCACCCCAGTGGGTTTGGAGGCGTCTATGGGGCGCTGGGATGATCTCTGGGGGGTTGGGATGATCTATGGGGGGTTTGGAGTCAATATAGGGGGTTTAGGGGTCATCTCCATGGGTTTGGAGCCATTTATGGGGCATTGGGATGATATGGGCATTTGGGGTCACCTTGGTTGGTTTGGGATGATTTATGGGGTGTTGGGGTGATGTATGGGGGTTTGGTTTCATCTCAGGATGATTGGGATGATCTAAGGGGGTTTATGGGTCACCCCACTGGGTTTGCAGCCACCCATGGGGCCCTGGCATGATGCATGGGGGGTTGGGGTCACCCCAGTAGGGTTTGAGCCATCTGTGGGGCGTTGGGATGATCTATGGGGGTTGAGGGCCATCTATGGGGCACTGGGATGATCTATGGGGCATTGGGGTCACCCCAGCAGCTCTCCCCCACCCCTGTGCCCCCGGTACCATCGCCCAGGAGCTGCAGCAGCGCCAGGTCAACGGGGCGCTTCCAGCGGGAGCCGCGCTGCAGGGCGATGCCGTAGCCAGTGGAGGCAAAGACCTTGCCCGAGCCGATGGTGACGAGCTTGCAGCCCTCCTCCTTGCGCGCCATGTAGTTGAGCACCGCCGCGTCGTAGATGAACGCGTCCAGCTTCCTACAGCCATATAGGGAGCGATAAACCCCGCCCACTGCCATATATGGATCGATCAGCCACGCCCACAACCATATATGGATTAATAACCTATGCTCACAATCATATACAGACCAATAAGCCATACCCACAGCCATATATGTCTCAGTAAGCTCCACCCACATCCAGGTATGTATCAATAAGCCCCGCCCACCGCCTATATATATCAGTAAGCCCAGCCCACAGGCTCACCTGAACCCTTAAGCCCCTCCCCTCACCCCAAGCCCCTCCCTTCACCCCAAGCCCCACCCACACCCCAAGCTCCACCCACAGCCCCTCCCTTTCCTTCAAGCCCAGCCCCTTTGGGGCCCCTCCCCTTTTGGCCCCCCCTTTGGCCGCACCCTGTCTTGAGGTGCTGCAGGGCGTCCTCCACGCCGCGCTGGTTGAAGCGCACCATGTAGCTGTGCATGGCTGGGTAATTGCTCCGGATGTTCTTCTCCGTGCTCCCGTTCGGCACCGTCCCGAAGCGCAGCGGCGGGTACTGCTCCTGCGGGCGCTGGAACTGATCCCCCATGGCACTCATCAGCACCCATCGGCACCCATGGGCACCCATCAACACCCATTGGTACCCATCGGTACCCATCAGTACCCATCAACACCCATCGGCACCCATCGGCACCCATCATCACCCATTGGCACCCATCAACACCCATCGACACCCATCGGTACCCATTGGCACCCCACGGAGCCCAGACCCGGCCCCCATCGGCACCCCCATGGTGGCACCTTGCGGTCGCTGAGGCCAGACACAGTGTCCACATACTCCTCCTGGATCATGAAGGCCGCCAGGTTCGCGGTGTAGCTGGCGAGGAAGATGACGGCGAAGAAGGCCCAGACCAGCACCATGATCTTACTGGTGGTGCCCTTGGGGTTCTCCACCGGCACCGAGTTGTTGAAGACCAAAGCCCAAAGAAGCCAAATGGATTTGCCGATGGTGAAGGTGGAGCCGCCAGCACCTATGGGGACAATGGGGGCAAAGGGTGCAATGGGAATAATGGGGGCAATGGAGACAATGCGGACCCACATCTCCCATCGCATCCCCCCTCTCTTGGTGCCACCAGCTCACGTTGTCCTGTGGCCAAGCTCCGGTTGTAGCCCACAGGGCTGAAGTACTCGAAGATGAAGACAGTGACGGCCACCACGGTGAGGCACATGACAAACATCATGACCCACACGGCTGGGCTGTAGGGCTCTGTGGGGGGGAAGGGAGACGTCGGTGTCACCGTCGCGGTGTCGTCACCGTCACGGCGTCGCCAGCGCCATCGCTGTGACACCGGCCGGGCCCTACCCAGGAAGGCGGAGGGGGACACGGTGCCGTTGCTCCGGGACACCATGACGCTGATCCCGGTCTCCACGAAGGGCACGGAGAAGTCGATGATCTCGGAACGCTCCTCGTTGATGGTCAAGGAGCCGATGGCCATGTCCGCGCGCCCATAGAACACCTGCGGCGAGGGATGCGGCTACAGGACCCCTTGACACCCCCCAAGTCTTCTTCCCCTGCCAACCTCCTCAGATCCCCTCCCATCCATCCATGGGGTGCTGTGGTGTTGTCCCCACCTCTCCCACCATTCCATTCCACACCCCGTCGATCTTCTTGCCATGTTTGCCATTGGTGACCAGGTAGAGGTCGTAGGTGAAGCCGACGGTGCGCGCCAAGCGCTTGAGGATGTCAATGCAGAAGCCTTTGCAGCACTTCTTCTCGAAGAGCTCCATGGTGGGGCTGTGGGGAGATGGGGGCTGCAACAGGGGGGACACTTGGGGGGAGGAGGAACGATGGGGAACCCAAAGTAGGGGGCACCCACCTGGAAGTGCGGTTGAGCTGCTTGCGGCAGGGCACAGAGTCACGGATGCAGGTGCCGGTGGAGGGGTCGATGCTCTCCACGATGACGAAGGGACGCTCCTCCAGGGTGGCCACCATCAGGTGCTGGTCTCCATCGACCGGTTGGAGGAACTTCCCGTAGCGGGACCACACCGGGTACTTCATGCGGAGGATTTGGTGCTCCCAGCTGCCCACCTGGGTACAGGGACGTGGGGACAGCATCGGGATGTGGGAGACGGGACATGGGGGTGATGGCGATGGTGATGGTGACGGCGCCGGCGCCATGGGGCACTCACCACCTCCCAGCTCCGCTCCTTGGTGAGGGAGATGACGACCAGGGAGGGGTTCACCAGGTACCCATCCTCGTTAAAGGAGAAGTCCTTCTGTCCCCACGTGATGTTCATGAAGTACCTGCAGAGGTGACGATGCCAATGGCAGCACGGCACCACCATTGCCGATCCTAAGGGTTGGGGATGGTCAAGTGGGTCTTGGGTGCCCTTAGACAATGGTTGGAGACCATTGGGTGCTCATAGATGTGGTTGGGATGACCTTGGGTACATTTGGGGTTGAGGACAGTTGGGTGCCCCTAGACAATGGTTGGGGACCATTGGGTGCTCATAGACAATGGCTGGGGACCACTGGGTGCCCATAGATATGGTTGGGGACAGTTGGGTTGGGGATGGTTGAGTTGGTCCAGATGTGATTGGGTTGGGGTCCGTTGGGTGCCCCTAGAAGTGGTTGGGGACAGTTGGGTTGGGGATGGTCGAGTGGGTCCAGATGTGGCTGGGTTGGTGTCTATTGGGTGCCCCTAGGCATGGTTGAGGATGGTTGGGTTGGGTATGGTTGAGTGGGTCCAGGTGTGGTTGGGTTGGACCCCATTGGGTGCCCTTGGCTGCGCTGGTGCCTGGTGCTCACCGGTGCAGGTTCTCATTGGTGTGGGTGACGTTGGGCGCCCGGCAGTCGCTGTTGAACTCGGGGAGGAAGCCGTAGTCCCGCAGCAGCGCCTCGGCCCCCTTGGCCACGATGGCGACGCCGTTGCGGAGCCGGTGCTGGAGCTCGTCCCTCCACCCCGCCGACAGCACCGCGAAGAGCCCCGCGGGGACGTGCTCTGGGAGCCGGCTGCTCCCGGCCAGGTTGGTGCCCACCAGGAACCAGATGTAACCGGGGCCGGTCAAGCCCACATCGTGGGCGGCACGGAAAATGGCCTCGGCCTCGTCGCGGGAGCAGTAGAGGAGCCGGATCTGCGCGGTGACGTCACGGAGCTGGCGCCGCAGCCGGGAGCCATCGGGGTCCCCAGTGAGGTTGAGCGTGAGGACGCCGCGGTGCTCCCAGCCAATGAAGCTGCCATCGGTCAGGACCTCCACGTAGTCCACGACGTCCTCGTGGCCCGGCAGCAGGGTGGTGAGGACGGCGAAGGACGTCCAATCATACTCCTCCAGCACCTCCAGGATCACCCGGAGCTGCTGCTCCGTGGAGGAGCCCAGCTGCAGGAACGTGGAGCCCTTCTCCTGCGTGGGGAAAGGGAAGGAGGGCATTGGGGAGCTCTGGATGGGGTTGAGATGAGCCTCGATGGGGGTGGGGGCATTTGGGGGGTCTCTGGATGGGGTTGAGATGAGCCTCGATGGGGTTGAGGACCATTGGATACCTCTGGGTATGGTTGAGATGAGTCTCAATGGGGTTGGGGACCATTGGGGACCTCTGGGCATGGTTGGGATGAGCCTCGATGGGGTTGGGGACCATTGGGGACCTCTGGGTATGGTTGGGATGAGCCTCGATGGGGTTGGGGACCATTGGGGACTTCTGGGCATGGTTAGGACACTTGGGTTGGGGTGGTCAAGGGGGTCTGAACGTGGTAGGGTTGGGGATGATAGGGTTGGGAAGCACTTGGGTGGCCCCAGATGCGCTTGTGGCCACTTGGGCTTCCCTGTCCCCATCCACCCCTCTGTTGCTGACCAGCTCCCCCCCATCCCATCACCTTGAGCATCCCCAAGCCAATAGCACCCAACCACTTCTAGCGTCATCCCAAACTCCTCTAGGAGCACAAGACTCATCCTAACCCCGCCCAAATCCATCCAACGTGTCCCTAAGCACCTCTAGGTCCATCCCAACCCCATCTACGGGCATCCAACCACCTCTAGAAGCACCCATCTCATCCCAACCACCTCCAGATCCATCCAACAGCCCCCAACCACCTCTAGATCCATCCCAATCCAATCTAGATTCACCAAACCATATCTAGAAGCACCCATCTCACCCCAAGCACCTCTAGATCCATCCCAACCCCATCTAGAATCACCCAACCATATCTAAGAGCACACAACCCCATCTAGAAGCACCCATCTCATCCCAACCACCTCTAGATCCATTCAACATGTCACTAACCACCTCTAGATCTATCCCAACCCCATCTAGAAGCAACCAACCCCATCTAGGAGCACCCAACCCCATCTAGAAGCGTCCAACCACCTCTAGAAGCATCCATCTCATCCCAACCACCTCGAGATCAATCCCAATCCCATCTAGAGGCACCCAAACCCATCTGGAAGCATCCAACCACCTCTAGAAGCACGAATCTCATCCCAGCCACCTCTAGGTCCATCCAAACCCCATCTAGGTGCACCCAACCCATCTAGGTGCACCCAACCCCACCTAGAAGCACCCATCTCATCCCGACCACCTCTAGATCCATCCAATGCATCCCTAAGCACATCTAAACCCATCCCAAACATGTCTAGAAGCCCGCAATGCCCCCCAACCACCCCTATGCCCCCCCCCAGCTCTCACCTTGGGCGTGAGGACGATGGCGGAGCCGCCGTTGATGGCCACGATGGGCACCGCCGTCTGCGCCGAGACGAAGTCGAGGATCTGGGCCAGGGCCTCGGAGCTGGCATCGTCCTCGAAGACCACGCCATGGACGGGCAGGGAGGAGAGGAGGTCGCAGAGGCGCAGGATGAGGCTCCGGGGGTCGGTGCCGTTCAGCACCACCCCGATGGGGTTCACCTCGAAGGCGGAGCCCGGCAGCGGCCCCGGTGCCAGGCGCGGCCCCGCGGCGCCGTAGGAGGAACCGCTCAGCACCACGGCCACGTTCAGCGCCCGCCGCGGGGCCTCGGGCGCCAGGAAGGGGCTGGCGCAGGCCAGGGCCAAGGTGAAAAACATCCTGGGCACGGGGCTCATGGTGGGGGGAGCTGGGGGGGAGCGGGGAGGGGATGGGGGGGGCAGCGACCGCCGGGGGCAGCCGGGACCCCAGCGTCAACCACTGAGACCCCACAGCCCACAGCACATAGCCCATATATCCCATGTCCTATAGCCCATATCCTATAGCCCGCACCCCATATTACATACCCCATATCCCATACTATCCCATATCCCATACCCCATACCCCATGTCCCATACCCCACACCCCATATCCCATACCCCATATCCCATACCCCATACCCCATATCCCATACCCCATACCCCATATCCCATACCCCATATCCCATACCATATACCCCATACCCCATGCCCCATATCCCATACCCCATACCCCATACCCTGTATCCCATATCCCATATCCCATACCCCATACCCCATACCCCATATCCCATACCCCATACCCCATATCCCATACCCCATACCCCATACCACATACCCCATACCCCATGCCCCATATCCCATACCCCATATCCCATATCCCATGTCCCATACCCCATATCCCATACCCCCTATCTCATACCCTATATCCCATACCCAACATCCTATTCCCTCCCCACCATGTTCCCAATGTCCCCCCCCATCCTACCCATTCCAAGCTCGGTCCTGGGGGATTCAGCCACATCTCGGCCTTGGGGGGGAGGGGGGGGACGACAAAGGTCTGGGAGGTAATTGGGGGGGGACGGGGGGGGGGCAGGGGGGGTGCTGGGGACACAGGGACAGGGACAAGGACTGGGGGGGGCAGAAACAGGGGGTCTGGGGAGGGGGTCGGGGTTGCACCTAGGAAAGGGGGAGAAGGGGAGGGTCAGGACTCACCTTCCCCCCCATTGCCCCCCAGTTCATCCATTGGGTTCCCATTGCCCCCATTACTCCCCATTACCCTCATTACCCCCCATTGCCCCCCATTACCCTCATTATCCCCCATTACCTCCATTACCCCATTACCCTCATTACCTCCATTGCCCCCCATTACCCCCTTACCCCCATTACAACCCATTACCCTCATTATCCCCCATTACCCCCCATTATCTCCGTTACCCCATTACCCCCCATTTCCCCCATTACCCCCTTACCCACATTGTCACCATTGCCCATTACCCCCATTACCTCCATTATCCCCCATTACCCCCCATTGCCCCATTGCCCCCATTACCCCATTATCTCCCCAGTACCCCCATTACCCCCTTTGTCCCCCATTGCCCCCATTACCCCCTATTGCCCCCCATTACCCCCTTCCCCCCCATTGCCCCATTACCTCATTATCTCCCCATTACCCCCTTTGTCCCCCATTGCCCCCCATTACCCCTTCCCCCCATTGCCCCATTACCTCATTATCTCCCCATTACCCCCTTTGTCCCCCATTGCCCCCCATTACCCCCTATTGCCCCCCATTACCCCCTTCCCCCCCATTGCCCCATTACCTCATTATCTCCCCATTACCCCCTTTGTCCCCCATTGCCCCCCATTACCCCCTATTGCCCCCCATTACCCCCTTCCCCCCCATTGCCCCATTACCTCATTATCTCCCCATTACCCCCTTTGTCCCCCATTGCCCCCCATTACCCCCCATGGCCCCCATTGCTCCCATTGCCCCCTTTGCCCCCGCCCGTCCCCGCCCGCCCCCCCCGCCCTGCCGCAGCCGCCGCCGCCGCCGCTCGCTGAATACAAATGCAGGGGCCGGGGCGGCGGCTGCGGGGCCGCTGCGGGGCCGGGGCCGGGGCCGGGTCCTTGGGGCCGGGTCCCACCGCCCGCGCCCCCCCCGGGTGCGATGGGGAATGAATGGGGGCAATGGGGAGCATTGGGGGTTATAGGGGAGTTGTTGGGGGCTATTGGGGGTGTTGGGGGCTATAGGGGATGGTGGGGCTGTCAGAGGGTGCTGGGCTGTGATGGGAGGGGGTGATGGGGTCCTGAGGGCTATTGGGGTGCATTGCAGGGGGCCAGGGTGTGTAAGGGGGTGTGTTCGGGTGTATGCGGGGGGGTTATTGGGGGGTGTTGGGGGGCTATTCGGTGCCATTGGGATGCTGTGGGATGCTATTGGGTATCATTGTGGTGCTATGGAGTGCTATGGGGTGTCATTGGAGTGCTATGGGGTGTTATTGGGTATCATTGGGATGCTGTGGAGTGTCATTGGGGTGCTATTGGACATTACTGGGGGGGCTGTGGGGTGTCATTGGGATGCTATGGAGTGCCACTGGGTATCATTGGGGTGCTATGGGGTGTCATTGAGGTGCTATGGAGTGTCTTTGGGGGGCTATTGGGGCACTATGGGGTGCTATGAGATGTCATTGGGATGCTATTGGGTATCACTGGGATGCTATGGAGCTTTCTGGGATGCTATGGGATGTCATTGGGGTGCTATTGGGTATCATTGGGATGCTGTGGGATGCTATGGAGCTTTCTGGGATGCTATGGGATGTCATTGGGGTGCTATTGGGTATCATTGGGATGCTGTGGGATGCTGTGGAGCTCTATGGGGTGTATTGGGGTAGCTATGGGTCGCTATGGGGCTCTATGGGGCGCCGCTGCGGGTCCCGCCGCTCACCTCTCACGCTCCCCACCGCATCCCGCAGCTGCCGCCGGTCACTGGGACACCGGCCCCGGAGCCAGCCCCGCCCCTCCCCTGGCCCCGCCCCCTCCCGCCTGGCCCCGCCCCCTCCGGACCCGTCCAACGCCCGGAGCGGGGGGGTGGGGGGGGCAGCGTTGGGGCAGGACCCCCCCCTCTGCGCCCCCTTCCCGCCTTTGCCCTTCCCGCCCTTGTGCCTGATTGGCCCCGCCCGCAGGGGGCGTGGCTTGCAGAGAGTTGAGGGGCGTGGCCTGGGTGGGAGGGGGCGTGGTCAATGACGGGGGCGCCAGGACCCCAACAACCCTCAAAGCACCTCAAATACCCCCAAACAACCCCAAATACCCGCAAATAGACCCAAATAACCCCAAAACACCCGAAATACCCCAAGTACCCCCAAAATACGCCCCAAATATCCCCAAAACACCTCAAATATCCCAAATAACCCCAAATAATCCAAACACACCCAAATACCCCCCAAACACACCCAATACCCCCAAACACACCCAAATGACCCCAAAACACCTCAAATACCCCCAAATAACCCCAGATCCCCTTTTGCACTCCCCTGCACCCCCAAATACTCCTCATTCCCCAGCCCTGTACCCCCCAGCACCCCCCTAAACCCCACATTGCTCCCCATATCACCCCATAGCACACCATAGCGCCCCATGGCACACCATATCACCCCATAGCACCCCACAGCACCCTGGGGGCAATGCAGAGGGTCTGACCCCCCCCATTACCCACAGTGCACTGGGTGTTCAGGTTTTATTCCTCTGCATGGAGGTGGGGAGTAGCCAATGAGATCACACCCGGCCCATGACATCACTGCCAGGGGAGCGTGACGTCACGACCACGCCAAGGTGACGTCATTGGCCACGCTGGTGTCACTGGTGGGGCTGTTGGCCCTGCTGGTGCTGTTGGTGATGTCACTGATGATGTCATCAGTGACATTGTTGGCAAGGCTGGCGGTCACGTTGCCTCTGGTGTGATGTCATTGGCTGCGCTGGTCCTGTTGATGATGTCATTGGGAATGCTACTGGCTGCATGGAAGCTGTTGATGATGCCACCGCCCGTGTTGACGCGTTGGTGACGTCATTGGCTCTGTTGCTGCCATTGATGATGTCATTGACTGTGCTGGTGCCACTGGTGGTGCTGTTGATGATGTCATTGACCATGTTGATGCCGTTGATGACGTCATCGACCACACTGACGCCATTGATGATGTGTCATTGAGGATGTCATCGACAACATTGACGTCATTGGTGATGTCATTGACCGCACTGGTCTTACAGTTGACGTCATTGGCCGTGCCGATGCCTTTGATGACGTCATTGTCCGTATCACTGACCACGCTGACACCATCGATGACATCACAGCGCAATGACGTCACTGACCGATGCCTGGGTCGGCCGTTTCGCGGACCCAGTAGGGGGCGCCGTGGCGGAGGGAGGGGCTTGGCGGCGGGGGGCGTGTCCCGGCGCGGTCACGCCCCCTTGCGCAGGCGCAGATACGCGCAGCCGCTGCCCAGCGCCAGCGCCGCGGCCGCCCAGGCCAGGGCGAAGCAGTAGCCGAAGCCGCCCGCCAGGGGGCGCCCTCCCCGCGCCGCGTAAAGCCCCGCCCCCAAGAGCGCCGCCAGCGCTGCGGGAAGAGAACGTGAGGGGGCGCTGCGGCGCCGGGGGGGCGGGGCCACGGGGTGGGAGGGTCCATTGGGATTAATGGGGGGGGTGGGAGGGTCCATTGCGTTCAAGGGGCGGTTGGAAGGTTCCATTGGTTTCAATGAGGGGGTTGGGAGGGTGCATTGGGTTCATGGGGGGGTTGGGAGGGTCCATTGGGTTCAGTGGGGGTTGGGAGGGTCCATTGGGTTCATGGGGGTTGAGAGGGTCCATTGGATTCAGTGGGGGTTGGGTTCAATGGGGGTTGGAAGGGTCCATTGGGTTTAATGGGGGTTGGAAGGGTCCACTGGGTTCAATGGGGGTTGGGAGGTTCCACTGGGTTCAATGGGGGTTGGGAGGATCCATTGGGTTCAATGGGGGTTGGGAGGGTCCATTGGGTTCAATGGGGGTTGGGAGGGTCCATTGGGTTCAATGGGGGTGTTGGGAGGGGCCATTGGGTTCAATGGGGGTGTTGGGAGGGTCCATTGGGTTCAATGGGGGTTGGGAGGGTCCATTGGGTTCAATGGGGGGGTTGGAAGGGTCCATTGGGTTCAATGGGGGTGTTGGGAGGGTCCATTGGATTCAATGGGTTGGGAGGGTCCATTGGGTTCAATGGGGGTGTTGGGAGGGTCCATTGGATTCAATGGGGGTTGGGAGGGTCCATTGGGTTCAATGGGGGTTGGGAGGGTCCATTGGGTTCAATGGGGGTTGGGAGGGTCCATTGGGTTATACGGGGGGGGTCCCACTGACCTGCCAGCAGTTGGGTGCCCCCCGCAGGGGTGAAGAAGCTCCCTCGGGGCCCCCCCCGGAGCTGCCAGAGGAAGAGCCCAAAGGAGGCGGCCGAGAGCAGCAGCGCCGTGGGCAGGAGCCCCCGTGTGGCACGCAGGCAGGCTGGGACACGCATGGGACACACGTGATGCATGTGCGGGACATGTAATGTATATGTATGGTACACGCACGGTACATGTATGGTACATGTATGACACATGCATGATTCACATGACATGTATGATGCATGTATGGTATGTATGACACACGTATGGTACATGTGTGGTACAGGCATGGTACATGTATGACACATGCATGACATACGTGACAGGCATGACACATGTATGAGACATGCATGATACACATGCGACATGTATGCCACGTGTATGGCATGTATGGTACAGGTATGGTACATGTATGATATATGTATGACACATGCATGATACGTGGGTACCCCAAGAACCCTCCATCTACCCCCGTGGGTGCTGGGTGCCCCACACATCCCACGTGCCCCACATGGAGCCCCATGGGCACCACAGGTACCCTATGGCTGACCCCCACGGGTGCTGGATACCCCATAAGTCACTCATGGGTGCTCTGTGCCCCACACATCCCGCGTCTCCCATGGGTACCACTGGCCCCTC